CACGGTTGAAATTTCGTCGCTCAAAGCTAGGACCATTTTGAAAGTAAAAAGTGCAGCTATAAAAAAGCAGTCGTATGTAAATTGTAGAGCTTTTCACGCTGCATCTTGTGGTATATTTTATTTTTTAATGCAATATATTAAGTGAATGAAAATTGAAACGAAAAACGCGGCCATCCAATATGCCGCACCCGTTATACACATACAAGAGAAAAGGAAAAACCAACAGATTATGTGTTATAGTTAAGTGGCAAGAGCCAATGTGTAATGCATTCACATATATTGGACAAATCCTAGACACATTACACGGTGACTACACAGCAATCAACAACAGCTGCATGTAACTTATTAGATTAAAATATTAAAACAATATTAGCATATTTCAGAGTGTTTTTTCTTTGTGACCCATGTGTGCCGATAGTTGGGTCACGCGATCAGTTCACCTTTCGTTAACCTTTTGCCCGCTTAGAGACGTGGTGACCGCTGCATCATCATGCCTGCCTTTTCTCTTGTCTCGTGTACTATTGTTATTCTCTGTGTATTGTCGTTTCTTCTTAGTGTGTTTGCTGTTCTCTCTTTCTCTCTCTCTCTCTCTCTCTCCTATATAAGCTTGTGTGCGATGTTAAGACGGACACAATGGAGCAATGGAGTAGTGTGGTTAACATCTATACCGAGGATGGCGGTAACGCTACTCCTCCAGTTTGTCACCACTTATTAAATAAAATATTCACAGCTGTAGTAACGAAAGAGCTCCATTCAAATTTCGTTACATCATGTGAATATGAATTTACTCCTGAGTTTGAGTCATTTTTCAATAGTTTCAACTGCTGGTTTTTTTTAGATATGGCGGCTTTTGTGGACGTATCCAGTGTTCGGACGAACAAGTGGACTGAATGGGTAGACGCACCATCTGGAACTATAATCGTTATCCAAGACATAGGTGGTTGGGCGAACGGCCATACTGCAATCAGTGAACTTGGAAAGAGAAACTGGAAGTTGTGTGCTGTCTTGAATTCAGTACCAGGCTCCACTTTTACCTTCAACGCGTACATGCAGAAGGGTTAAACAAAAGTTGCATTTTCTTTTTGTTGTATCATCTTGTAGTTAGTCTGCAATTGACATTGAAGAATTTAATTCGAAGATGATTTTTGAAATAAATATTTTGTTTCCATTTTTGTTTCTTATTATTTTAAACATATTATCAATTCTGTATGCATTCTTTCTGTTCTTTATCATCCTTTATTTAATCTAACTCTGAAAATAAGCAACCACGATTGGGATTTCGACCTTGCATAAGGGCCTCATCAGGTGACATTATTCTAATTCCATCATAAACTAAAAAGTTTACAATAGAAAATCGTTGTTCAACTACCATATGAAAGAGAACCAGGTCGAAATCGCGCTCGTGGCTGCTTATTCTTATAGTTGCAGTCATGCTTCTTAATACCGCTTCTCTTCTATATGGTAGTTGAACAATGGTTTTCTATTGTAAACTTTTTAATTTATGATGGAATTAGAATAAGGGTGTGGGGCGTGGGTGGGTGTGGATATCAATAAAAAGAAGACCCACACCCACACACCGCCACCCACACCCCACACCCACCCACACTCACACCCACACCTACACCTACATCTACCCACACCCACACCCACACCCTACACCCACCCACACTCACACCCCACACCCACACACCCACACCCATGATATACAGGTCCTTTATTTAAAGGCAATGAACAACAAAAATTGCATTCCCAATCTAATTGGTGTAATGTTTATCAATGAAGTTTCATTCAATATCGTAAAAACTTTTGTATTCTATGATTACCTGAATCGGCAACATATAAATTGAGTTGACTGTCAAGTTCTACCGACCAGGGGCTATGCAACAATGTAGAATTACTATCACTTACATCTGTTACTCCAGCAATTGTTATTCCTTCTGTTTGTCCATTCATAAATAATTGCATTCGTTGATTTTCTCTATCAGCAACATACATATTACCCATAGGATCAAAAATCACATCTGTTGGATGATATAACGTAGTTGCATTATTTTCTTGATTTCCATTGATATCACCAGCGGGCAGTGCCCAACTGGTGGCACCTAATGGCCAACGAACAATATTATTGGCTATATGATTGACAATGATAAGACTGTTTGAAAATGAATCAAGATAAACACGAACAGGGGAGTTTAACCATTTCAGTCCCGACTTTTTTTTATCAAATTAAAGTTTGAAAAAATATAGCGCTAAGTGGCTAGATGGTATTACGACACATCCATCTGGAGATATAAACTTGAAAAATGAATTTATTTATTGAATTGAATCGTTTCCTAATGCACGTCCATCAAAATATTTGAAACAGGTAGAAAAGCTTGAGTTGCCTTCTTCCCATTCCCAAACATCGATTGAAGTTTGATCAAATTCTTCGTTTAGTGGTTCATTATCTTCAGAACTGTTGTTATCAAGTTCTTCAGAACTATTTGTACTATTTGTACTTTCAGTTTCATCGGATGATGTTTCATCAGAGCCTGGATCCATTATATTTTAGAAAACGGTTGGGTTTTTTAAAGAAGTCATATTTCAAATTTTACGCTATTAGTTTTAGTGGAGAATAGAACTATCCAATAAGTAATATTTATTTAGTCGAAAGTATAGAGGTCGCTGAAGGAACACATAATTTTTGTACATTCTTTCATCACGACTCAATGACTCATAACACAAGTTTTAAAAAATTTCGATTGTTGAGGAAAACTTTGAAAAATCACATGAACACGCTTCGATACACTAATCGATAATCTTTATTCACAAGAATATGTATGCAATCCTTCACAAATGTATCTTAACTACGAATATTTGATGAAAATATTCCTACTAGATCTCAAAAACCTCAAATAATTTTGAAATTTTTTGAAAAATACAAAATTTTCGCTAGGTGGGAAATATATATCCCACCGGGACTGAAAGGGTTAAACTGATTACTACCTTTTCGCAATATGCTGATGCCAGTTCTATCCGAGAGGAAGTACTGCTGTTGACGCTGCAAATAAAATAAAATAATCCTTAATATGTGAAATGACAAAATTTTCTCTTATTTCTTTACTGCTGTCCAATAATAATCATGATTAGTTTATGCTTCTTTTTTCACTTAGGCATAGGTAAAAAAAACATTTTCACTTATATCTCGTCATATTGGGTTTGAACAAAACGATGAGTAGAATTGTAGCGATAACAATATTGAGAACAGCACAATACCAATGGCTGATATTGTCATATTTTGATTTGAACTTCTCTATTAAATATGAATAGAAGAATGAATGTATCAATATGGCTAAAAAAAAAATCAGTCATCTCACTTTTTCTTTCTGTTACTCTTCATGTTTTGATGACAATCAATTATTGTGTTTCCCTTTCGATCTAACTATGAGTGAACAGATGTGATATCTTACGTGAAAATGACGCCAATCATTATTAATAATATCCTATAAAATAAAATAAATATGTATATTGTAATTAACTTTCTTCGGAAGAACACATATTTCATTTTTCTAACTTCAAATAATTTTGATGAACTTCTGTTTTTATTCTTGATACTGTTATCTGAGAATGGTCCTGTTTACTATTCCATGCTGTCAATAAATCATGTTCTTGTTGCAGATATTGTTTTGTTGTACAATTCACCTTTTATTGATTCATTCGATTGATGAGAAGCTATCTCGACCACCATAATTTGAGTATCAAGAAAAAAAAGAACAGAAAAACATTATAGAAATCAAAGATATTAAATCAAATGCAAACTATTCTGATCATCAATAGCTTTATTTGTTGTTGATTGATAATTAATACGAATTCTTCGATTTGATCTTGCTCTTGTTTTTGGATCGATGACAAGTGTGTTTCATTTTTATTACATGTAGTAAGTTTAACCATTTGAGAACGGGTGGGTTATTTTTCATCCACATACATGATTTCACTGGCGAAGTCTCTCCGCTTCGGCAGTAAACGAATAAGTCATGAAAGACCTCTTTCTAAAAATCAGTCTCAACTAGCATTACCAAAAACTGTTCTCAGCTTTCACACTGAAATGCATTTGCCTGTCACAGCAAAAAGAAGAAGATGTGCTTATTGTAGCACTAAAGTAGCAGATTTTCGATCCAACATCGAGTGCTTTACTTGCAAATTGCCATTATGTTTAAGAGCTAAAAAAATTTCTTTTTTGATTATCATAAGGTTTTTATGTAGCCATTTTGAGTTAAAATAAAATAAAAAGGTTCAAAAATGTTTTTGCGATTAAAAACAGTTCCGTCCTCAAAGAGTTAATACCAAATGATTTATAATAAAAGAAGTAGTCATTATGTGAATAGTTTACACTAAATAACCTTACTTGAACTTTTTGAGATATTGACAGTATTCATCATCTCTGTTATAAACTATTCGGAGATGTCTCAAGTAAGCAATTACATTGATTTCTTGAGTGAATCAAATTAGAAATATGGCTTCTTTGATCAAGTTTTTATATCGAAGTAAAGCAGTTAACAAAAGTTTATTATTCCAGATGCGTTCGAAAGAGAAAAGACATTGCATGTCGCATGGAACGAAGCTGAATTTGAATTATTTATTTGTTTTTCGATATCTGAATGTATAGCATGATTGAAGTGAAAGAATTGACATAGGCTGAAATATTTCAACTTTGTCAATATGAATGTTAATGCAGTCGTGAATAATAAATCATAAATAGGCCGTAGTGGAAGAATTACGGATTATGGCAAAAATATTTTCTTGAATAATGTGCATGTTTACTACTAAATTTTTAGAGTAATTCTCTTGAATTTATCAGAACCTTAATATTGAGAACGATATAATTTATTAATAGGGAATATCTTTCATGAGAAAAATTAAAAAGAAACAACCTTTAGTTTGTCGAAAAATGTCTTTGTGATTCTAAAATTTGAAAGTAGGACGTGACAAACAAAAGATAAAATGCATTTTCAAACCAATTCATTTATATGCCTAGAAAATAGTAAATCCACATAAAAGCTGTGTCGGACAGAACAAATACGCTTGGATGATACTTCAAAAATTGCATCCACACGAAACACATGCCTACATAGTGACAAGCAAAGAATTTAACAATATTGTGCACATATGTTAGAAATGTTTGTGATATTAGCAAGAATTAATGGCATAGATAATATAGGGTGTGGATGTGGGTAGATTAAGAGAAGATCCACACCCACACTCATACCCATCCACACCCTCCCTAACCCCACACTCACACCTCACACAGACTCCACCCACACCCTCATCACACACACACCACCCCACACCTACACTCCACACTCACACACCCACACTCACCCACACTCCACACTCACACACCCACACCCACACTCACCCACACCCACACCCCACACTCACACACTGACACCCTCTCTTGAAGAAGCAACTCTAGGACTTAAGGATATCATTCCTGATATGGACGATATGATTGAACTACTTAAACTCAATTGTAGTGAGTCAGATGGAGACTTAAGACCGAACGACTTGGTTTCTACCATATTTTATACTATGAAATCGTTGTCAAGAAAAGTTCTATTGAGTTGTTTGCTGAACGAAGCTCTACGATCACATAATCAAGAGCAGCTCAATCCATGAAATCCGTACTTCAGACTTCTTCGTCATTCATTATCAAAAATCAAATCAACCCGTCGAACTGTCTTCTATGTCGTCAATGAAAATGACACTACCATATGTAACTCTGAACGCAAAATTGTGTTATCCGGGTTCATACATTGTGCAGCAAACTTCGAAACACTCAAAAATAAATATGGCTTTGGCAACACAGCGAACGAACTTTACTTTCCATAGAATGCGATTCTAGTAAAGATATCAGCCAATATTCATTCAATTTCACAGAAGATGAAGTTCTTCTAATGCCTGCTCAACAATTTGAAGTCGAATCTTCTCTGTATATTGGCGATGGTCTTAATATTATTAAAATCAAAGAAGTTATATTGAACTAATCAATATGATCCAGGCTTTTTCTATCATCTGAGCGACATAGGGATTTTGTAATGCATTTCATTTCATCGTTTTTTTGATGTAAAATTCGAAATTATTAAACAAGAAGAATGAGAAATTTAATTAGAATTCTGTTACATGGAAAAGAAGTTTTTTTAATGAAAGTTGACTAAGAATATATAAAATTGCATGGTAAAACGATCTTGCACTAAACCACTGTACGTGTGCATCTTTACGTACTTTTACGGTTAGAAACTACAGGATTAAACTCGATCCATTTAATTTTATTTAAAAAAAACAAATATTGGATCGAACATAACATTAATCTATAGAATACAGTATAAATGGTCAACTATACTTGAATGAGACTAACTTCAGCTAATTCAACGTTTTTTAGCGCGTATCAAAAGATGGGTTGGTACGACGGATGATCGCTGATCAGTTTTCCATTGAAGATCAGCATCTGAAAGATATTTACAAACTTTAGGTTTGCCACTTCGAAGCTTTTGGACGTCAGCTGGATTTTGTTTACATTGAAGAACGACTTGGAAATCGTAGGAGGTGCCATCGATAGTCATAGTGTCAATAGGACACACATGCTCCAGGGATGCATAATTTATCGAAGGTGATGTATAAACGTGGTTTTGATCTGGTAAATTAAGAACAAATGTTCCACCAGACAGAAGGTGATCACCAGGAAATGGTATAAAACGATTGCGAATGATATCTTCAAGTTTATCTTTGGATGTTCCAAAGAAGGTTGTATACCAATTATCAAATATTTTGTTACTGGTAGCGAATGCATTGTCTACTTGAATGCCGAAAGCTACCCATCCTCTTGGTACAGTATATTTAGTGTTGGCTGCTGTTAAAACATTCGGTTGTGTGGAATCATAACATGATGCACAATAGCACTTATTACGTTTTCTATTGAAGTATTTTATGTTTAATTTCAATTTTTTCAAATATGCCACACATACTGATTTCAAACATTCGGCAGTTTCTATTAAAAAAAGATTTAAAATAGCTTATGTAAAATATAATTGGTTTTTATTCAACCAAATACAAAAATAGTCCTTTTTAGTGCTCATAACAATCACATAAGAGCTAGAACAAGTATGCAAGGATAACAATAGAACTAGAATTCTAAATATTTGTGGTATCTCACATTGACAGTATCAGAGACGACGGTTATTCAAAACTGCCTGAAAATTCAAACTCGTGTTTGTCACTAAGCCTTTAACTCTTATGGGGGATATTTCGAAGTACTGCTGCTTTTACGTTTTCATCGATTTTGATCGGTGGAAAATGATCATGAAAGATTCATGGATCTTAGAGAAAGTACTGAGTTCAGGGTACCCATGTATTGAGAAAGCCATAGCCGGGTACCCAATATGGGTACTTTGAAAATTCTCAGTAATTATACTGATGTAGGTACTGCATTAGGTATCCATAAAAGTACATTCATTGAACAAGTACTTGTATGGGTACTCGAATCTGTAATTTTACTGGGGAAAACTCAATAGGATACTTTACATTTGTCGCATTCTGTGTAGCGACTGTTGATTCACCGTTTTCTTTTACGTGTACAGCTCCATATAAACAACTCTGCAAAACATAAGAAATTAATCTATTTTCATATTAATTTTTCTAGATTATCTATATATATATATATATTGTTCATTCTGTGTCGGTGTGTCTGTGCCGGGTCAAAGGTTAAATAAGACTGCACGGAAAAGGTGCCAAGGGCTATTATGGAGGGCCCATAGGTCCTCAAGGACCATTATATAGAAGTACCCGTTGGTCCGCATGACCTATTATATGGATGTATACGTAGGTTGTCAAACGCTATCCTATGGAGGTCGTAGCTTATCAAAAGAGATACTTTTTAATTAAACATTTCGCTATTTAAAGAAAGCTTTAGCTATTTAAAATTCTCAAAAGAGATACTTTGTAATGAAACTTCGCTATTTAAAAAGGCCTTAGCTATTTAAAAGCTTTGATATTAGTTTTTTTATACACAGTTAGCAATTTTAACGAAATAGCGGCGACACTGAATTATTAAAATAGATATGTAGCTCTTTGTTATGCATTCTGATTTTTTATCTATAACGGTGCTAAACTTCGTCCAACAGAGTACAAAAAAGACTGGATTAACCCTTTGAGGACGGAATTTTTTTTCTTTGAATTCAGCTTCTCTGCATAAACATCCAAATCTGCATTAGAAAGGTCAAGTTCATATAAGTTATCGACTAGTTCATCGCTATCAAAATCGAAGTCACTCTCGCTGCCATCATCACTGGTATATGAATCACAGAGCTGGTCATCAACTTCATTATTTCCATAGAATTCCATTTATTTATTTTTAATTATAAAAACGGTATAATGACATGAAGAGTACAAGTACGAAAGAGAAACGATATGCTTTACAAATTCAAGAACAACGTAAATTCGTCAATGAGAACGGGAGTAGATATATACCCAATAGAGAATGAGAATATTCTCGAAAAACAAAAGATCAGAGGAGAAGAGAGAAATTATGACGTCACTGTACTTTAGCAGCAAGAACAAAGGATATTTGAAAAGAATTTATATGAGACAAGGAAAGAAAGAAAAGAAAAGTATGAGATGACACATGTAGTTGTTTATGACCTTACATATTTAATAGTTTAATGTGAACTAAACACTTTTTTCTCTACTGAAGAATAGGTGGGTGATTTTTCACCCACCCATCCTCAAAGGGTTAAAAGAAGTTATTCCAGATGTTTAAGAAAGTAATAGAATATGACCGATTGTTATATTTTTCATCATCTATCAATTAAGCGAAATTATGCTGAAATCATATTCATCGTCAGTTATAGATGGTTCTGTCATACTATAATCAAAAACATTTGCTTCCTATTTGAATATCTGTTGTTAATACAAAATATTCGTATATAATGTTTTAAATTCAATCGCCGTTTATTTCAATATTTGTGAATCTCTTATAAAGAATATTCCAGCAAAAAACTCAATTTGGAACACAGAATAACTAATAAACAAGATTTTACATGCATATTCTACGGATGAATATTTGTTGATAATGTTGATAATTATACAGTTAATAATATATCAATCTATAAAATGATCATGTGCACTTCGTTCACTTTTTTCTATACTTCAAGAAAAAAATCACCCGTTTGAAATATATTGCTGATAAGTTTTAAACATCTATACAGATTTTTGACAGTACGGATAACAGCAAATTTCAATACCTAATTACGTCAAAACACTTCTATTACGTTCGTTAACATGGACTTCTAATTTTCTAGACACTCCTGAGCCTTCAACAAATTCACATGACTTCATGAGGTATATCAGTACTTAGCAAACTTTCACATTTTAAATCTTTGCTCCTTCTTTCTACATAATTTGACTCATAGCTGTAGAATCATATAGATATTTAGAAAAAAAACAGGCATACATAACTTGATCCCATTTTGTAAATATCTCACAAACATCTCGCAATCCCTGCTCGGAAGAATCACTAAGGTAGGATGAATATTTGAGGAAAATATCTATTAGTGCTGATAATGAAGTATTCTTTTGGGTACTTATAGGAATAAACATATAATTCTCAGTATTTTGCATCTTGTTCGAAATCGCAAAGTATGATTTAGTTGTCTTCCTTTCTATCGCAAGTTTAAATACCTGCAAGATCTTTCGATAACTATGTGAAAAATTAAATAGCTATGCAAATCATTAACTAGCTATGGCAAGTTTAAATGGCTACAAAATCTTTAAATAGCAATGATAAGATTAAATAGCCATGTGAAAGATTAAATAGCTATGCAAAGCATTAAATAGCTATGGCAAGTTCAAATAGCTATAAGATCTTTAAATAGCTATGATAAGATTAAATAGCTATGCAAAGCATTAAATAGCTATGGCAAGTTTATATAGCTATGATAAGATTAAATAGTCAAGTGGAAGATTAAAGAGCTATGCAAATGATTGAATAGCTATGACAACTTTAAATAGCCATAAGATCTTTAGATAGCTATGAGGAGATTAAGCAGCCACGTGAGAGAATATATAGCTGTACAAATGATTGAATAGCTATGGCAAGTTTAAATAGCTACAATATCTTTACGTAGCTATGATAGGATTAAATAGCTATGAGAATGATCAGTAGTTAGACTAGAAAATGATTGAACAAGTTTCTTTTCGAAGTCATTTGATGCTAATTATATACAAAAAAGAAATTGTATCTCTTTTGAGAATGAGCCATACATAATATCGTACATCTGTATGTCTGTTATCGGATGAAAAGTTAAATGTATGAAGTCATACGCTAAAGGAGAAACCAGCCGTGCAGTATGCACGGGTTCTCGCTAGTTTCTTGACTATTTCTTAGTCGAGAACATGCCGATTTTGATTGTAGATTAAGAGCGGACTACTCTGAGGTGGTCTGATGGATACCCGACTAAATCAAGTCGGGTCAGAACTCAGCATTTAACCTGCTGAGTTTTCAGAATTAAAAAAATTAAATTGGATAAAATCGAAAAAATATGTAATAAATTGCTTTGAGGGAAAGAAAAATGGAAAAAGTCAAAGATCAGGTTCGATTCTGAACATACTAAAATTTTTGCAACAGGGTACCTAGGAATACTGCACATTAGTATCTAATTGTGTATCTGATCAGTATCTTCAAATACCCAGTTGCTTCATGTTTTACAGCAGGGTACCTACTAAAATACCACGTAGGTACTTGAAAGTACCTGTAAGTACTTTGGTACCCAAAAGTTCCTGTGACATGCTGGTAACAGGGTACTTTTTTGGGTGCCCTTAACTCAGTACATTCTCGAGGGGATCGGTGTAGTAATATTCTGAAAGATCTATGTCGTACGAGATATGCGAAGAGAATCATAGAACATACTAGGCACAGGTGCTGGTTTTGATACAGTTGTTGGTGTCAGTGCCAATGTTGTGTCGGTGGTCTTCTTGCTACAACCGCTACCCATCTAAAGTAAACAAAATCTTCAATTTTATCGACGTAGAATGATCAGAAAAGAATGTTGACACCCGATGAGTAGTGTAGCAAAAGGGTTATATGAATTTCGGCTCGAGGAATTTTCAGTCCGGACTTTTTACCCTCACCCACATCGTCACGTAGACATTTAGAGTCCGGGCTGAAAATTCCTTGGATCGAAATTCCGGTCTCCCTAGCAAAGTGCTTAGAGAAGTAATATGACTAAAAAGTAATCACCCTACAATTCTCCAACTAAATTTATGTTGCTAACGGCTGTTGTTTGAGAATTGGCAATAAAAACAGAAAACCGAAAACGACAGAAGAGACTCAAGCTCGCAGAATGAATCATAGTTAAATGTTGATAAGAGTTGCTTTTGATTGCATTGTTGCAAAATAAAAGTTTGGAAAAAATGAATTCTCCGAAATGAGTGAGACAAAGCATGCGTAGAATACATAAAAGGAAAAAGAAACAAAAGAAAAGCGAAAGAAAATGAGAGCTTGTTGAAATGATGGGCGTATAAAACGAAAACAAACGCCATAAATACGATAAACTTGTGCACCGTCACTGCACACTTATTTTAAAAGCAGTGAAATCATAGAATGCCGCGGAGATGCGACGCATGTGGTGCGACTACACCACCATTCAATATTCAGTGTTGTCCTAGTTGTGGACACGAATTCCGTAAACCAGAAAATAATTCAACACCACCAAATAATAAAACCCATGCTAAAGATAGTAAGTCAGTGACATCTAAACTGAATAGTAAAGATTAGTTTGCTTTTTTTGGAACATTCAGGTCATTCCAAACAGCCTCGTGCCTGTCCATATAAAAACCTTTGTGCGGAATATCTTCGATCTTTAGAATGGGATCGATCTTTATTTGATCGACGTTTTAATCATTGCTACTGCTCAGATTGTTATCTCGAGTCTTGGAGTGATACTGTTGAAGCGGCCGGTTCCGTTTACGTTATTCCACGAGGATGGTGTCGATTCGGCCTTCAAGTAGATAAAGTTCGAACTGAGGTTGATCACATTTGGCGTAATTGGATTGTCACCTATCATGGAACAACACCGGAGGCAGCTCAGTCCATTGTTGTCCATCGACAATTCTTAATACCTGGTGATAAACGATTAGATGGCGAGAAAATTGCCATACGTCCTGGGCATATTGAAGGACAAAATCATATTTATACATCACCGACAATAGCATACTCAGCACATCCATGCTATTGTCGGCCTCAACTGTTTCGATCGCGAACAACAAATAAAGTTTACAAAGCACGCATCGTACTTCAATGCCGACAACAACCAGGATCTTTTAAAATTCAACCAGAAACAATAAGAGCCGGCCATCAGAGAATTTGTCCAATAATACCAAATGATGAAGTAGAAATCTATACAACAGTTCGTGCATCAGTTTTGCCTTACGGTATATTGATACAGTTAGAAGAAACTTCTTAAAATGATTGGCAAGGAATACTTGAAAGTATGGGCGTGGGTGCGTGGGTGTGAATATGGATGTGAGTGTGAGTGTGGATGTGTGTCGGTGGGTTTGGGTGTGATTTTTCCATTTCCACAACCATACCCATGTCCACCCAGAAAAACAGAAAAGTTCATTCGATCCTATGTCGAATACAGTTAGATTACCTCTACCAGATGAGCTTCATCAATATCTACAAAGGACAAGATAGCTGATATTAAACCAGGTTCGAGACAATATATGTCATCAACAAAGTTTTTCAAAACGGCGATATGATAAACATCTCAAGGATATTTCTTACTCTATTGCTGATCTAGTATTTCTTAATGTATGCGCCAATCGTATAAAACTAGATGAACATTGGATAGAACCGTGTCGTGTGATTGAACATCGAGGTGAACCTGACTATTTTATCGAAGGCAATCAAATAAAAAAAAAGCTATGTAGACTCACGTCAGTCAGTTACGGTCGGCTGCGAAACGTTGTAATTTGTCATAACACCTTTCCATCAATACACGCAAATATTTTCCTCAATTAACATCGGTTATAAACGGTGTGACAAGGTTTATAAAATGTAATAATATTATCATCAAACATGTGTATTCACTCGAATGAAATACATAAACTGATGAGGTGGCAACGCGAGAGCTTTATGAATAAATCAAGACTATATTGGGTGTGGGTGGGTTGTGGGTATGAATGTGGGTGGGTGTGAGTGTTTGTGTGGGGTGTGGGTTGGGTGCGTGGGTGTCGGTGTGGGTGTGTATGCGGGGTGTGAGGTGTGGGTATCATTCGGTTGAATGAGCCACATCCATCAACATTACACCCACACTCACACACCCACATCCACCCAACACCTACACCCACACCCACATCCACACCCACACCCACACCCACACCCGCACCAACACCCACACCCACACCCCACACTCCAGTCACACATACCCACAGTCACACCCCATACCCACAGCCACACCCCACACCCACACCCCATACCCACAGCCACACCCCACACCCACACCCACACCCTCTTTTTTGTGTACTCAAAAAGGGTGTGGGTGTGGGTGTGGGTGTGGGTGGGATGTGGGTGGATGTGGGTGTGGGTGTGAGTGTGGGTGTGGGTGGGTGCGGGTGTGGGTGTGGGTGTGGATGTGGGTGGGTGTGGGTGTGGGTGTGGGTGGGTGTGGGTGTGGATGTTGGTGTGGGTGTGGGTGTTGGTGTGGGTGTGGGTATGGGATGTGGGTGTGGGCGTAGGTGTGGGTGTGAGTGTGGGTGTAGGTGTGGGTGTCGGTGTGGATGAAGGTACAGATAAAAACAAGATCTGCACCCACACCCATCCACACCCGCACCAGCACCCCACACCCACACCCACCCACTAATCAAAGTGAATTATCATGAGCAGATATCGGGTGATCCACAATAAAGAGATATGATAAAGTCGTGAAATTTATACTTGGACTCTGATAACACGTATACATTGAATAAAAAGATGAGGGTAGTCGAACAGATTCATTTTTTGACAGCATACTTTGTTTCTTTTTCAATTGAAAGATAACATGCAAACCATATTTTTCT